ATCCAAGGAGGTGTTATTTGAAAAAAAATTATTAGGATTCGTTTGGTATTGATTAATATAGTCAATTTTTTTGTAGTGAGACTTTTTTAGCTTGGCTTTTTTAGTCTCGTTTGATTTTTGTTTTTGGATTTTTTTGACTTTTGTGAGAGAAAAAGTGTAATGATTATGGATAAAAAGTAATATTTTGTCTTATTGACTTTTGTAGTTAATTTTGTGATTATTTAACCCCAAAAAAATTGCCAAACCAAGGCTCAATTCGTCTAATAACACTAGGGGTGAGCAGCGGATATGCCAATCCACCTAGTCCATCCAATCTGATCCGATCCGATCTGTTGCATTTTGGATAGATGCAAAATGACAAACGGATGGTTGCGGATTGATTTTTTTCCAATCCGCCTAGTCTTGGACGGATGGCGGATTTGAGGTTTCTTTGGCCGCATCCGAACCGCCAAACCGGAAGCACCTATGGTAATTTGTAAGAGTTTGTATTTTCAATTTATTTAAATATTTTGTTTGTTTTTTCAATTGAAAACGATTTCAAATATTCTGTTGAAAAAAAGTTTTCAACTTGAATATATTTTTTGAATTGAAAAAATAAATATATTATTGATTTATATTTTTTGGTTTTTAAATCTAACTCTAAGAATAATAAATAAAAAATATGATATATGCCGTTGGTTTTTGTTTTCAAAAACAGATATAGATGTAACAATATAGAGACATACAATCTCTGCTACTGCTCTGTTCATGATTTTGGTAGTTTGAATTATTTTTATATTTTAAGAATCACAGATTGTAATACTTTATGTGGATGAGGCATGCTGTGATTGTAATATGTTGATAAAGCATGCAATGATTGTAATATTTTAAAGTTTCAAACTTTCTTTCTTTGAATGAGACAGGTAGTAATTACAATACTTTTTTAAGTCATTGACTCTAATACTTTTTTTTTTTTTTTGAGGAAGTGCACAAGTTGAATTATGTTTAAAATTTAGAAAATTTTAAACCGCCAAACCGATTCGCATCCATTCACCAATCCGCTCAATCCACATCTGTCGGATTGGCAAATCGATGCGGATTGATTTTCTCCAATCTACCAATCTGGTAGAAGGATGGCGGATTGGAAATTCTATGACCGCAACCGACCCGCGCCCACCCCTAAATAACACCACTTCACTGCTAATCATAGATTACTAAACGTACATGTAACCCAACCAGCCAAACCAATTGTATCCTTATTTGAAAAAATATTGTTAATTGGTTCAAGAATATCACGTAATTATTCACTTAATTAATCACAAATTATTATATCCTGTCATATTTTTTAATTATTCAATATAAAATTAGGGTCGCACTCCTTCCACCAATCACAATATATATGGAGCACCACGTGACGCTATTCCTAAACCGACCAATAACTCCTCGTCATTTAATAGTTTTTGTTGCATTGCTTCGCACCACTCTGGCTCATTTGTTTGGGCAGGTAACATTTTTAAATTAAAAATATTTTTTACAAAACTTTTGTTTTGAAAGAATATTTATTTTTAGAATTTTTTGTTTTTTAATATATATTTGATGGTGGTGGTGAACAAAAGTGAAGGTAGAGGTGGTAATATGGTTGATGGGGCGGCGGCAACAGTAATAGCTACAGTGATGGTGGCAGTGATAGTGGTGTGTTAGTAGAGGTGAGACTGGCGATAGTATAGTAATATTGATAAATTTTAGTTTATAAAATATTTTTTATCTTTTAAAAGTTGAAGATATTTTCTGCAAATACAAACTATTTTTGTTAATTATTAAAGATATTTCAGTTGATTTTAATTTTTTATTATACCAAATATCAAAAAATACACACACAAAATATATATATATATATATATTTCCACCCAAACAAAATGTCAGAGTAAATACTTGTTCGGTTGCCTTCACAAATGAGACCTAAAAGTCGTGGGATCAATTGTTTTAGCCAATCAACTGTCGCACTGCTTCACAGTACTCAATTGATACATGTTCTGATGTCTTCACAAATGAGACGTAAAAGCGGTGGGATGGGATCAATTGTTTTTACTATTCAAACTTAAATTGGAGCACCACATGGAGTCGTTCCCAAAGCAAAATATTAATTTCTCGTATACTTCATCCAATAGGGTGTCATTATTGGTTTAAATTATGAAATTTGTCACATTTGTTTTAAATTTTTAAGAGATAAAAAGTTAAGTTTGTATTAAAATTTGAAAGACAAAATGTTATACGTAAACTTGTAAGCAGTGGCGGAGCTAAGAAATTAAATCAGAGGGGGACACTTATTAATTACAACATTAAAAAATTTTATAAAAATATTTTACGATTAATTTCAAGAAAGATATATATATATATATATATATATTATTTGTATATCATGAACAATATATATAAAAAAAAAGCTGGACAATATAAAAAAAAAAGTCATGGATATAAGTTTTAAAATAAATTATATAATGATAAAATATTTTTTTATATAAAATTTTAGTAAAAATTCAATATAATAGTCATCCTACGTCATCATTGACTTATGATATTATCAACAAATAGTAAAGAAACACATAGATGAGAATTCTACGTGTCAAATGTAACTAACAATTCAATAAATTTTATATGTTCATTGAGTTTAATTATAATTGCATGTTAATAATGATAGACATCACCATTATATTGAAATTTTCATAAATAATAATATAATTTATCGTAACATTTTTATTTTCAATAAAAAAAAACCAGTATTATTCTCATAATTTTAAAAATATCATTGATATTTCAATCTAAATAATATTTTATAATTTTTTTATTTAAAATTTTTTATTTATAATCGCAAAAAAAAAAAAAAATCCAAAGCCAGGGGGGCACGTGACCCCTGGAGCAGGTGTGGCTCCGCCACTACTCGTAAGTGAAATAGAGTAATGTTCCAAAAATATTAAATAATTTCTCTTGTGACAATTGACTAGAGTTCACTACAAAAAATTAAGATTTTAGAGACCAAAATTTAGGGACAATTATTTTTTAAGGACCAAATATTTTTGTTGCTAGAAATATTATTATTATATTTTTTAGCAATGAAAATTAGACATTAGTGATGAATTATTATCTTTTTGAGACCGAATTATTTTGTCCCTAAAATTGTATTTATTAGTGACATTTTCAAAATTTTGTCGCTAAAACCTTATTTTTGACTTTTTGGGATGACTTTTTAACGACTATTCTTATGCCTATAGAAATTAGTCGCTAAATATTTTTTGTAACAAAATTTTCACTTTTAGAGATCAAAAAATTTAGTCTCTAAAACTCTTACATGTTGTAGTGGTTGTTGTGCAAAATAAACATATTTTTATGAAAAGTTATTTAGTAGTCATGAACATGGCCATTGGCTATATTCTAAGAATGTTGTGATTGGTTAGGGGGATACAACCAATAATTTTGTATTAGGACATGAATGAACAACATGAGGCATAGTATTTGATAATTGGTGGATAACATAATCACATGGTACGCTAAGTATTAGGATATGAATGAAAAGCATGACGCATAATATTTGATAAATGGTGGATAACATAATCACATGGTATGCTAAGGGCAACGAATAATTTTACCATTTTGATGGTTTAAAATTGTGAATCCCACTTAGAGAAAATATATAATGATTTTCAAGCAAATTTATGGGACATCCTAACTTATTTTTTTAGGCAAATTTTTGGGACATCCTAACTTATTTTTAATTGACTAAAACAATAATTCTAAATACTTTTGTAATCATTTTTGAAAGACAACATAACATATATCATAAAATGAATAGTGCGAAATATTATTCTAAAATTGCCAAATAACTTTCTCCAAATTGAAATGGATGAACATACTCTTTAGATGAGTTTACAGTTTTAGACCAATAAACCAATAAAAAAAAGTAGGTATTATTTTCACACATCCTGACAAATTCATTTCCACAATACACAGAACAAAACCATTAATTCAAATCAAGTTCCCACAAATAGCCGAATTACACTCAATAGGGTGTTATTATTTGGCCAAATTACACTGAACTACCTTGATTTTTAAAGAAAATATAATAAAAGCTATGACTTCCTTTTTAATTGTTTAATCTACCTTATAACTGCATCAGCTATTGCGCGGCTACGCGGTATGACCTGAAAGTGATCATTCAAGCCAAAATGTGCCATGAGAAGCCAGACATGAGTAAGCAACTCCCCTCCTCGTCTCAATTGTTGAGCATGATATCTTCCACTGCATTGGCTAGCTGCGTGACACAACATTTCCACCCATACTCCACCAATTATTTGCCATCCATTTTCTCTCCCACTAAGTTGTGATGCTAGCTTACACCCATGCAGTATCGCAGAATTGCTCCTCTCCAATTTCTTCTGTTCATACTTTTGAAGCAGCATACTCTTCTAGGGTCTTTCTTCTTCTGTTGCTTCTGGATGCTTCTGCTGGTGGCTGGTAGTGGCAGTTTCAACCACCACCACCAGCGGCCTCTTCTTCCGGCTTCTGCTGCTGGCTGTTGGCTGCTGCCACCACCGCTGCTGCCACTGGCACTGGCATCGCTACTGGATCACTGCTGGGAAAATGACTTTTAGCGGCGTTTTAAAAACGCCGCTATATGTATGAAAAACGCCGCTAATTCATTTAGTGACGCTTATCACAAAACGTCGAGGACGCGGCCGTCGCTATAAGTTTATGACGCTTTAAAAACGTCGTAAAATTAATATAGGCGGCGTTTTTAAAAACGCCGCTAAATGCGATAAATAATAATAAAATGACATCATCCAATATTTAGCGACGTTTTTAAAACGCCGTGATAGATTTTTTTATTTTAAAAAAAATATCCGTTGGCACTGTAGTGGCGTTTTGAAAAAACGCCGTTATAGCTCTTTTTTAAAAAAAAAAAATTCCTGAATCTGTTATATTTAACTAAAAAACATACCTGTAATAAAGCTAAAAAATAACAATAATATGAATAAAATTTTACAGCTACTTCAATATATTGACTAAATAAACATTACATGATTGTGTCTGAACCAAAATCAAACAACAAACACAATCAAAAAATAAAAAGAAAAAATAGATTAAGTCATTTGCTTGCACATGCAGATGCAATGGAATAGCCAAGCATATTACACATCATTACACTGCATCAGTAAATTTCCAAGCTTTGGATCAGTAAATTTCCATTTGTAGTTTGAAAATGAACTGGTCCATAGCTGTGATCCGTGATCCTAAAATAACTGCTGATGATGAATCTTCCGTGCCATGCTTGTCCTTGAGTGGTGTATGAGGACCACGAACAATGCATTTTGCTTTTGCTCCGTATTCAAGAGTAGAAATCGTCTTGTGCATCTCCTTGGGATCCGGGCTAGCACACAATATCATCAAAATCTTCGACTTATCATCCTCAAATGAATCCTAAAGACAAAAAAAAAAAAAAAAGAACACAACACAAGGATTTGAAAAATAAAGATTTAAAAAGAATCAGAAAACAGAATCATGTTAAACTTTATATGACAATATTATGACTGAAATTTACCTGCAAAAGCATAGTCAACTTGCTGTCTCTGAACGGCACGTGAGAATCACCATTTGCAATGGACTCTACCACTCTCTTTAGTGCTATATTTCCTTGGTTGATCTTTCCAGTCTGCACTTTCAATGGAAAATAAATTAATAATTTTACTAATTAAAACCTCGAATCAGTAGAAGGGACCTTCATAATTTTTCAGAAAGCTACTAATAGAGCATTGTTTAAAAATAATACCTGCATTTTGGCTTCCAAACCATTTTGACCAGCTTGCTCAATATTTTCAGAACCAGCCATGTCAACAAGCATAAGCTGTCCTCCCATAGTTGGGACATCAAGAATTACCTGTGAAAAAACAAAGAAGTGCAGGTTCAGATTTTTAAAGAAAATATAATAAATGCTATGACTTCCTTTTTAATTGTTTAATCTACCTTATAACTGCATCAGCTATTGCGCGGCTACGCAGTATGACCTGAAAGTGATCATTCAAGCCAAAATGTGCCATGAGAAGCCAGACATGAGTAAGCAACTCCCCTCCTCGTCTCAATTGTTGAGCATGATATCTTCCACTGCATTGGCTAGCTGCATGACACAACATTTCCACCCATACTCCACCAATTATTTGCCATCCATTTTCTCTCCCACTAAGTTGTGATGCTAGCTTACACCCATGCAGTATCACAGAATTGTTCCTCTCCAATTTCTTCTGTTCATACTTTTGAAGCAGCATACCAACTACTCTTCTAGGGTCTTTCTTCTTCTGTTGCTTCTGGATGCTTCTGCTGGTGGCTGGTGGTGGCAGTTTCAACCACCACCACCAGCGGCCTCTTCTTCCGGCTTCTGTTGCTGGCTGTTGGCTGCTGCCACCACCGCTGCTGCCACTGGCACTGGCATCGCTACTGGATGTAGCATCTAGATCCTTCTCGTCCTTGTTCTCATCCCCATCCTCTTCCTCCTTGTCCTCCTCATCATCATCATCATCATCCTTGTCTTCATCTTCATCCTCGTCCTTGTCCTCATCCGCGTCCTCGTCCTCCGAATCTCCCTCAATTAACTCTCTTGGCCTGAGATAATTGTCCCAGATGTCACTGATTTCCCTGATGCCCACCTCCTTTTCAAGGAAGTCCCCTAGCCCGGCATAAATGTCCCGGAACTTGATGTGTGCCATCCCAAGTGGCAACATATAAGGATGCTCGACTAGGAGGTAAAGCATATATCGTGACAAATAATTGCCTATTTCATTAGGCTCGCCACCTTCGTAGTACATGATTTCTGTAGCAAGGTGCCAAGTAAGAATACTCTGGTCGAACTCCAATTCGACACTCCACGCAAGATCATGATCATTATGACTTTCTATTGTGCGGCCTCCCTTCTGCCCGAATAAAGCTTTAAGATCTATGTCGTAGCCATACCTTTCCGTCCATTGCCTAGCACTGTCATGGATCTCTTTGAGGACTCTGCTTCTCAAATCAACTTTGCTGAGTGATATAGGAGCACTCTTGTATTGGATAGTATCTTGAAATTCTTCAATGCCTAACATGTTAGGTTTTATTTTTGGCAATCCCGTTTGACAAAACTCCTTTCAGTTGTATTTATTTTCGCACTTTTATTTCAGTGAGACTATGAGTGTTTAGATGCGAATCCAACCTGAATTGTGCCTTTTAGAGAAGTTTGTGATGCTAATGCATTCCAAGTTGCCTATCCGCTCGAGTGGACATTACCCCGCTCGAGCGGAGAATCCCTGGTTCCAGCAATTTGTCAGGTCTGTAAAAATACTGGAAGGTGTGATTTCACGCTCGAGCGGGTTCTCTAGCGCTCGAGCGGACCTCTGTTATATCACGCGTAGATTTTACTGAAGATGCTCGAGCGGGATGTTGGGCGCTCGAGCGGACCGCGCGAACACAGTTTTCCGGATTTCAATAAGGATTGGGTTTTCTTCCAAATCTAGGATTACTTTTTGGTTTTCTATAAGTAGTTGGTTTTCTCCCAAAACTAGACTACTCCTGAAATCCTCCAGATCTTCTTTTTGGTTCTTAAGGTTTATATCTGGGGATATTTTTAGTTTTTCGTTGATGTTTTGATTGAGTATTCAACTCATGTTTTAAAGAGTATACATCAAAGGTTTTGTTGATTCTACAAAAGAGAGAGTTGTTCTTCGGTGGATTCTGAAGAATTCGAGCCTGAAGCTTTAGTGGATTCCGGGGTGGCTCATCGTAAAGACAATTCCGAGGTGAAGACGGGTTGGAAGAGGCACATAGAGGTTGGTTCAATTAGGCATGGATTCGCCAGGTAATTGAGAGTATACCTGTGTAATTCCTTTAAATCTTCTTAGTGGATTGTTTTGTGGCTGTTGCCCGTGGTTTTTTAATCACAGTTGGAGGTGTCCAATTGTGGTTTTTTCCACGTAAAATCGTTGTGTCTCTTTGTCTTGATTGTTTGATTGGGATTGTTATATTCTGCTTAAAATTGATACATAATCACAAATCAACATCTACGGGATTTCTAGATTTTTCATAACATTTTTTGGAAGCTAAGGCAGGGGAGTTGGTTTTCTCTCAAGGCAAATTTTAGCAGACTAAACTGAGCAATGGAATTCGACCACCTCCGTTTTGGAATCGCCCAATTAGTTAGTGGTGAATGTGCAATGCACTTGATTACTCGTAAGATGGTGGTTTTCTTACGCTTAATTAACCAATAAGCAGTTTGGTCGGAGAGAATTAGTTGCAGAAATGCCCATAACTCCACGAGAAGAGAGGCCGCCAACAATACCAAAGTTATGGTACGGTCAATCTCGGAGTGGTGGCGATGTTTCTCTGTGACTCGTATTGTCTCATGCAAAGATACCATCAGCAATACAATGAGGGTCAGAAATATTCCGATGAATCGTCCAGCAATACCCCAAGCAGAGTAGACTATCTTCGCCTTTGTGTAGCGCAAATCATATATAAGCCCTAGTTCAATCTCAATTATCCTGAATGCCTTGCTCGCACACATGGTGTCGTTTTCGAAGATTGACCTACTTGCATACCCATCTTGGAAGCCCATTACAAGATCTGCAAAGAGACGCTTGACCATCTCAAGAAACTCATATGCTGCAAGTAATTCATTTCCATCAGGAAAACATTCTAGTGATGATGGAATACTATTGATTAAATGACTCGGCACGTCAACCTCTAGAGTTTGATGTGGTGTGACATGGTACCCCTCCAATTGCTTCAATCTACATTCCTCCACAACTTTGGATTCACTAGAAGGGATATCTGCCGGGAATTTTTCTCGCAGCCACTCTCACCGTTCTGGGACTCCGTTTAAACCAATACCTGCTCAACGCACTGCTGTTACTGCCTCAGAGGATTTACCTTCCTCTGTTCCTATAGACCCTTCCACTCCGGTCTTCTCTCAAACCGATGTCAAAGCCATGTTTCAACATTTTTGGCAGAATTCCGGTACTCCTCCATCTACTGCTTTATCTGTCACCTCAGGTAACTCTTCTTGGTACTTTGACTCCGCTTATTGTAATCACATGACCTTTGACCCTACTATTTTTACTCCTCTCTCTTCTACTCCTCATGTTCCTTCTATCCATACTGCTGATGGGTCTCTTCTGTCTGTAAGTCATGTTGGTTCTGTTTCAACCTCTCACTTATCTTTATCTCATGTCTATCTTATGCCTGCTCTTACTTTAAATCTTATCTCCATTAGTCAATTATGTGAGCATGGTCTAACTGTTACCTTTTCCCGTACTGGTTGTTTGGTGCAGGACCCTCGGACGCGACAGACCCTTGGGATCAGCCGTAAGCATGGACGTTTCTATGAGCTCATTCATCTTCATGTCCTAGTCTCCACTCCATTGGTTGCCCCTACATCTACTTCATCTGTCTCTACATTATCACCTTTTCATATTTGGCATTATCGGTTAGGTCATATTTCTGTTAATAGATTGAAATGTTTAATTTCTAGTGGTCGGTTAGGTCATGTCTCTTTAGATAACATCTTTCTGTTGGTCATTTAAAATCTTTAATTTCCAGTGGTCATTTAGGTCATGTAAGTTCTGATGTTTTAGATTGTGTGTCCTGTCAAATTGCCAAACAACCTGCCTTGTCGTTTAATAAAAGTGACTCTGTTTCTCTTGCACCATTTGATCTCATTCATTCTGATATTTGGGGACCCTCTCCTACTCCTACTATGGGAGGCGCACGCTATTCTGTTGTTTTTATAGATGATTTTTCCCGTTTTACATGGTTGTTTCTTATGAAAAATCGCTCTGAGCTCAAACAACTTTATTACAATTTTGCTGCAATGGTTAAAACACAATTTTCTAAAAATATTAAGCTTTTTCACTCCGACAATGCCATGGAATATAAAGATTTTGACTTTCTTTCCTTTCTTCAGCGTCATGGTACTCAACCTCATCGTTCCTGTCCCGGTACATCTCAACAAAATGGACGTGCTGAACGGAAACATCGACATATTCTTGACACTACTCGAGCTCTCCTTCTGTCTTCCTCTTGTCCGGAACATTTTTTGGGAAAGGCAGCTCTCACTGCTGCTTACACTATCAATTGTATCCCTACACCTGTCATTCATCATCACACTCCTTATGAGCGTCTGCATGGCACCCATCCCCCTTACACCAACCTTAGGGTCTTTGGATCTGCCTGTTTTGTTCTTCTCTAATCTCATGAACGTACCAAACTTGAACCACGTTCTCGCCTTTGTTGCTTCTTAGGGTATGGTATTGAACACAAGGGGTATCGTTGTTGGGATCCTCTCTCCCAGCGACTCCGTATCTCTCGTCATGTAGTCTTTTGGGAACACAAAATGTTTTCCTCTCTCTCTCTCTTCCGTTTGTTCGTTCCCTCATCCTCTCTGTTTTTTACTGACCCTTCCACGGATCTGTTCTCTGATGAGCTTACCCCACCGCCCTTGCCAGCCTCTCTCGAGTTCTCTGATGAGCTTACTCCACCGCCCCTACCAGCCTTTCTCGAGCCTGCCTTGCCTACTGGTCTGTCTCATGCATCTACTACCTCTGATGGTCCTGCTCTTGCTCCCTCGGGATCCTCCCCTCCTGGTGCGTCTCTCCCTTTGGCTCCTCCTGCCTCTACTCGACCACACCGGGTAACCCAACCTTCTACTCGTCTTCGTGACTTTATTGTTGGTTCTACTGCTTTTTCCACTTATGAACCGACCTCCT